TGGACAGACCAGAGTTCCCTTTGGCATTGCTGCTGATCAGCTCTGCAGTCCCACTCTGAAGTCTGCTGCTCCAGGCTTTTTTTTGTCCCAGAATATGAGCATATAACCAATACGGTTAAACTAATAGTCTGTATTCCACCAATGACCTCTGACTGATGCACATTGAAAAAATAAAACCACAGTGAGAACAAGAACATGAGACATGCACGAAGAATGAAATAATGCAAATTATCTGTTCCCAGAATTACTAACCTCTGATAATATTGCCATATAACTCCCCAAGATCCATCTTTCAGAGCTAGATTTCCCCTTCTCCATGAAGCCCAGCCTCTTATCTCCATGCCTATCAACTATCATCTCTAAGCAAATATGAGACTCCTCCCTATTCAAATTATATAACATACTGCTAATATTTTGTGCACGTTTCCTCTTTAGTCATATGCACTTATTAACTAGACCTGTGTAAGTTCTTGTAATTGTTAAAAGCTTTGATTTTAAGCTTGGATAATTTCATCATAAGTGTGTCTGTGGAGCATCCAAACTCTGACACACACACACACACACACAGATCCTAGCAATGTATGTGATCGATAATGTTGGCTGACATGGATCGAAATAATTAACCAGTTTATCCTAAATTGAAATGCCTAACAATTTATTCATGGTGGAAGTTCAATTTCAATTTACATGGAGAATTTTTGGTTTTAACATGTTTTTATGGGGATTTGTCAAACAACGTGATGGTCAGAGGAGGGAAGGGGCAAAGCAACCTCATTCCCACTCCTCCATTTCATTTGAATCTGTAGCCAGCACTTTATCTACCTCAAATCTCCTTCTACAAAGTCACTCATTTTGCTACATCAGATTTTCAGAGCTAACAGGACAGTGGTTATGCACCCAGACAATGTAGTTTATCTGCTTGTTTTTAGGTTGCATTGCTGTCACTTGCTATCACTGTATGATGCTGTATAAGTTATTTAATTATTCTGTGTTTCACATCACTCATCTATAAAATAACACCAATAATATTTAACTCAAATACATGTCAAGAACAGTACAAAGAGTCAGGCATGGTGGCACACACCTGTAATCCCAGAACTTGGGAGGCTAAGGCAGGAGGATCACCCTGAGTTTGAGGCCAGCCTGGGCTACACAGTGAGTTCAAGACTAGCCTGGGCTACATAGCAAGACCCTGTCTCAAAAACAACAAAACAAACAAAAAATACAAGTAAGTATGACATATATGTCATTATTATATTATCATTTATCAAAAGTATTTTTCTTGAGATGAAGATAAGTTCATTCAATTCCAGTTTTAAGACTTCAAGGTCAATACTTGTTTTCCAACAAACAATAAAGAGCAATGAGCTACCCTGTGGGCTACTCTAATGTTCTCTGGTCCCTTTTGACATCGAAACTGTTAAATCAAATTTCATTAGCACCGTGTCATTAAAAGCAGAAGGTGAGGGATGTGTGGAAAAATCTATCCATCCAAATTACCCAGGAAGTCCTTCTGGCACAGATAAGTTTCTGGGTCAAATGTCCTTAGAGAAAGCATGATGGTTTCTTAAAGAAAAGATGCATAGAACTTGGCACATACAAATCTTTTAATTGAACAAAAGAGTGAACACACTAACAGAAAATAACTAAAATAAATTAATCCTAACAAATCAATTTTGGGGCCGGGGATTTAGCTCAGTTGTTTTGCCACCTGCTGCGCAAGCTCAAGGACCCGAGTTTGATCCCAGGTACCAAAAAAAAAAAAATCAATTTTAAAAACTATGTTCCAGAAAGCCCTAGAGTCTCCAAGAATGTGCCTCCAATAGCATTGAAGACTGGGAGAGTAACAAGAGATGAGAATTGCTACAAGCTGTTCTATTATTTATTTGTTTGTTTGTTTGGTACCGGGGATTGAATGCAGTACCTTGCTCTTGGGAGGTAGGCGCAGTGCCACTGAACTAAATCCCTGGTCCTATACAAGCTGTTCTCTTCATACATAGAATATCTTTCACGAGTACTGATACAAATATAAAAATTGGCCTGGCACTGCAATAGAATCTGAAGTGTTTCCCTCCCTTTTTCCAGTTCTTTATTTTAGCCAAGGGACACCTCCTCTTGACGTTTTAGTGTGAATTTTACCCCCTTATAATGGAAACAAAATGCCAACTTCATATTAATTGATCAATAAATTAAGACTCTTGATTCCTAGCAGGGTCAGATTTGCCATCCTGGGGTCAACAGCAAAACATTACTGTCACACCTAAAAGAAGGGTAAATATTAGAGTCTAGTTTACACTAAAGGAACAAATCTCCAGCCCTGAATACGATGTGGGAAAACTCCATTTATGCAAAGTGGAATACAGTTATGGTCCTTTTTCAAACTTCTTGCTCAAGGGAATGACCACAGGTTGTCTAGAGCTCTTGCTGAGTTGTTTCTCAGCTGAAGGCCATTTGTGTTTTTTCAATTGGCAATTCAAAAGGTCAGAGAAAGATTGGATCAACTTAAACTTCATAGCAGCAAGATTGCAGCGGGCTCTTTGTGTCTGTCTTTATTATTATCTCAGTGGTTGAAAATGCCCCTCTGTGTTCACCTGCCCTTGGAAGGATGTGAGGAATAATGCAGTCTTTAATTTCAGATCTTGCTTTAAGTCCATCCAACTGTGATTCTTTCTCCTATAGAAAAGAATACTATGTGATGCTATGTGATATTTCCTAGCCAATATGGTTCTGATAGTTTTAATATTAAGATAGAACTTCATCCCTACCACTCTTACTCCAGGTATGTATAATCAGATTTTGTCATCATCTTGCTCTTAATAATTTGCATAACTCATGAGGAAAGGCTGTTGGTTTACCACTCATTTAAAAAAAATAACAGGACTTTGATAAATCAAACTAAGTTATTTATCAAAAATGTTGCTGGTTTTTATTTGTTGTTGTTGTTTGGGTGACAGTTTTATGGGATTTATTTTTCTGGTCATCTAGACCAGAAATTTCTAGGGGATTGTTTTATGCAAAATGTCTGGAGATGTTCAATTGTCTTCTGGATTAGAAATGTAAAGTGGAATAGAAACACACTTGTGCAAAGAAAGCCCTGGCTTGACTTTAGGCTAAAAAAGGGAACAACCTGAGTTCATAACTCACAATTATGTTCAAGGCTTTTCTGATAGCTACAGTAAAACTCAGCTGGAACTTATGACTAAGCTACATCTTAGATTACGTTTACCCTGTGGCTTGTTTATCACTCTGCTTGCACATGAATTTGGTTTTAATGAAAATTAGAGAAAGAACTAACATCTTTTGCTCTATCTGTAATAAAAAGTTAGCAGAGAAAAGTTTATTTTTTCCATTTAATTACTCCTTTACACACATTTATAGTAATTAGACATCAGATGCAGTAGCTAAAGCAATTACTGTATGTCATTTCATAGAATTACAGTATAAATATACAGTAAATACTCAATAATCCATGACAGGCTACTTAAAAAGTAATAAGGAAATTTAATTTAAAATGTGAGAGCTGAGATGCATGATGTACTTCTCAATGAAATGCCCACAATTACAAAATAGAGACTGTAGCTTCAAAAATTCACTACAATTCATTGAGAACTCTTCACAGCATGGGTCACTGGCCAGCTCCCCTCAAAATTAACATTAACAATGCATGATAGTCTGGTCTAAAAGAGAAGTCTCACCCTTCTTTTTCCTCTGCCCTCCTCTCTCCTCTGACACACATCTATAGACCTTTCCCAAACATGCTTCGAAGCTCACATTGAAAACCTAGGTGACATTAAAGACCACTAAACCAAGACCACAAGATTAACAATAATAGTACTGTGGTATTCTCTGAGCTTTATTTTCAAGGGTCTTTGCTCAACACCTCTCGTGTGTGACAACATAATGTAAAAAAAATGGATAAGGAATTTATAACTTACTGGTATGGAATTCAAAACTCAGCTTACTCATTGAGGCATCTTGGGAAAATCGCTCAGTTTCTTTTCATCTCAGCTGACCCACAAAAGCAGAAATATAATTATTTTTAGCAAGTAGTTGAGAATACACTGACATAATGGGGCCACATTTCTGGGTAAATGGCTGTGACTCTTTATGTCGTTCATTTTTAAATTTATTTAAATGCAACCAATAAGTTTGGAATACTTATCATCTTTTGTATTTAGAGATTTTCAGTCTGCATAACTTCTTCGAATTATGACACCCAGGTTTGTATCAACTGCTCTTTGAAATATATTTGTTTTCCATTCACTAAAAAGTTTCAAGGTGCAGTGTTTTCCTAAAGTGAAACAAAAACTGAAGAGCAACTCTATGCTTGCCATCTTCAATCCATTGCAACTTTATGTGTTCCTGTCTTAACTTTCTCAGTCTTCCGGGACTCTAGAATCTTTTTCTTTCCCTGCCTCCCCCTCCCTTCATCTGACCTCCTTCTCCAGGACACCAGAATGAGAAGCAAAGAAATGAAACAGAAGCAGACTCGGCTCATTCTGGAAGGATGACTAAACCTCTGGAAGCTTCTATTTTAAAAGAAAATAAGGACAATAATACCTACTTCATAAAGTTGTTATAAAGTTAAAAAGCATCACTATTTTTCATTCATTTATTTATCATATGCTTACTGAATGCCAATGGCTGCTATTATCCACCTACATAGGATCCTAGTGGGTGGGCATTCAGTGCCTCTCCTCCTAGCCACAGATTTTTCCTGCTCTGTAAGAAGCTTTTACTAAAATATCTTCACTGAATGGTTGTTACAGGAAATGTTTTGGCAGAAAAGGGCTACAGTTATCTAGGTTTGGGGAATGTTACCAAATTCAACACCTTTTTGTTTACTTCTAGTATAATCAGGCAAACAAAAACTGTAAAGAGATAAATAATGGTGAAATGAAGCAGATGGCCCTAATGATACTCTTAGTTACTTTTCTCTCATTGCTGAGACAAAATACCCAGAACCAAAAGTTAAAGGGGAAGGGGTTTATTTGGCTTACAGTTCATAGAGGTTTCAGTCCATAATTGGCTGGATCCAAGGCTGGGATGACAAACACAACAGGGCTCGCCGAGGAGAAACAACGTGGTGCGCACAAGGTAGCAAAAGCAAGAAGGAACCTTAACCGTCTCTTTCTGCCTCTTTTATCTTATCCAGGTGGCCCGGAGTAGGGCGGGGCTAAAGCACTTACTCATGAGTAGTGGTTTAGTAATCACACAGCCCTTAACACCAGCATCACGCATTCCAGATTTCACTACTTCAGACCAAATGAGGCTTTGGAGGGACATCCAGACCCAAACCAAAGCAGATAGGCAGATTGTTCTTTTCATCATAGACAATTTATCCCCCAATATTACATTCATTTATATTGCCACCAAAAGTATAGACAATTTGATCTCTGCTCATCTTCCGGGTTCTATTTTCCTAGTCTTTCATTTTTCATAAGGATAGAACTGAGGAAGGCAAGTTTCTAAAGTTGGAAATATCAGTTGATATCCTACTAAGTAGTAATCATAATGCCACATATTTATTTATATAATCTTTTCAGAAACCCTCTTAGGTGCTATTTCAGAATTGACCAAGCTGGCTCAGAGGGAGGAAGAAACTTGCTAGATATCACACTGTCACCAGTGGCATTCTTACCTTCTCTAACCTGGTCCAAGGAATCAGACAAGACATTCTTGTTGCATAACTCTGAAACTATAGTAGAGTTCTGCAACTATAGTAGATAAATAAGAATTGGGGATTCAGGTAACAATTATTAACATAAATACCTCAAAAAGAAAATTTTAAAAGAAAAGGGCATAACAAAAGGTGACTATAAATACTCAGTTCCACTATAATGTTAACTCATTCAAGAGACACATTATCCTTATTAATCTATGAGGAATATGAGTAAAAAGGAAATTGGTTCTTGGATTTTATTTTCTAAAACATATGATAAGATCTCTTTTTTTTTCTTAAATTCTTTTATTGGTACATTTTAGGTATACAATACGTTTACATTCATCATTGGGTGCTTGTACCTGTACATGATGTATCTTGGTTCTTATTTTTTCCCCATTACCTGTGCTCCCTTCACCCCTCCACCCTTCCCTATTTACACAGACATTATTTCCTTTTTTTTCTTTTCTCATAATTTTTCCTTCCCCTTCTTTCCTTTCCCCTTCCCCTCCCACTTCCCCTACCCCTTTGGACCTTTTCTTTCTATTTCAAATTCTCACTTATTCATTTTAATCATTTTAACCCTTATTTACACTTTCAGTTTCTCACACTAGAGAAACTATTAGGTATTTACATATGTGTGTCCTATATATTTCACTTAAGAGTATGGCCTCAATACGCATCCATTTAGCTAGAAATGTCTCTAGTTTATCGTTCTTTATGGCCAAGTAGTACTCCATTTTATAAAAAAAAAAACACATCTTCTTTATCCAGTTTCCAGTTGATGGGCACTTGGGCTGTTTCCAAGCTTTAGCTATTACAAACTGTGCCGCTATAAACATGTGTGCAGTATATCACTGTGGTATGATTCTTTTAATTCTTTTGGGAAGATCCCCAGTAGGGGAATAGCTGGGTCAAATGGGACCTCTAGCCCTAGTTCTTTGAGGTATCTCCATACTGATTTCCACAGTGGTTGCACCAGTCTGCACTCCCACCAACAATGGAGAAGGGTTCCTTTCTGTCCACACCCCCACCAGCATTTGTTATTGGTTGATTTCTTGATAGCAGCCATTCTTTGTGGGGTGAGGTGGAATCTCAGAGTTGTTTTCATCTGCATCTCTCGAATGACCAGTGATGTTGAACATTTTTTTCTATATTTATTTGCTGCTTTTACTTGTTTGTCTGAGAAATGTCTGTTCATTTCAGATGCCCATATTTGAATTGGGTCTTTGAATTTGAGGGGTCTGATTTTTTTCAATTCTTTATATATTCTAGATAGTAGTCCTTTGTCTGAGGTACAGCTGCTAAAAAAAAATTCCCACATTGCAGGTGGTCTCTTAGCTCTGTTGGTGGCTTCTTTTGCAGTGCGGAAGGTTTTTAATAAGATGAGATTCCAGTTGTTGATTCTTTCTGCTAGTTCCCATGCTATTGAGGTTTTGTTCATAGTCTTTACCTATGCCAATGTCTTCAAGAGTTCTACCTAACTTATCTTCCAGCAAGTTTAGTGTTTCTGTTTTAATATTTAGATCTTTAATCCACTTCGATCTTACTTTAGTGCATGGTGATAGGTATGTGTCTAGTTTTAATCTTTGTCAGGTCAAAATCCAGTTTTTCCAACACCATTTATTAAATAGGCTATCTTTCCTCCAATGATAGTGGTTGGCTCCTTTGTCAAAGATGAGGTGGCTGAGTATGTCTGGAGTTGTTTCTGCATCTTCTAATCTATTCCACTGATCCTCAGGTCTGTTTTTTTGCCAGTACAATGCTGTTTTTATCACAGTAGCTTTGTAGTATAGTTTCAAGTTGGGGATTGTGATACCTCCAGCCAGGTCTCTGTTGCTTAGATATGCTTTTGCTATTCCAGGTCTCTTCTGGTTCCAAATGAATCTTTGGATTCTTTCCTCTAGTTCTGTGAAATATACTGCAGGGATTTCAATCCGCATTGCATTAAATCTATATAGAAGTTTTGGAAGTATGGCCATTTGCACTATGTTGGTTCTTCCTACCCAGGAGCAAGGAATGTCTTTCCATTTTCTTATATCCTCCTCAATCTCCTTTTTCAGAGTGCTGTAGTTTTCAGAGTAGAGGTTTTTTGCTTCCTTTGTTAGATTGATTCCTAGATATTTCATTGTTTTGGATGCTATTGTAAAAAGGAATTGTTTCCCTAATTTCTCTCTCAGTGAGTCTGTTATTTGTGTATAAGAAAGCTATTGCTTTTTGAGTGTTGACCTTGTAGCCAGCTACTCCACTGAATCTGTCAATTAAGTCTAGAAGTCTTTTGGCTGAGTTTTTTGGGACTTCTATGTAAAATATCATATTGTCAGCAAATAATGACAGTTTAACTTCTTCCTTTCCTATCTTTATTCTTTTTATTTCTTTCTCTTTTCTAATTGCTGTGGCTAATGCTTCCAGAACTATATTGAACAGGAATGGTGATACTGGGCATCCTTGTCTTGTTCCTGATTTTAGCTTGAAGGTTTTCACTTTTTGACCATTTAGTATGATGTTGGCTGTGGTTTTTCATAGATAGCCTTGATCAAGTTGAGATAAAGACCTCCTATTCCAATTTTCTGTGGGGTTTTTATCATGAATGGGTGTTGGATTTTGTTGAATGCTTTTTCTGCATCTACTGAGATGATGGTTTTTGTCCTTGACTCTGTTAATATAGTGTATTACATTTATTGATTTATGAATGTTGCACCATCCTTGCATCCCTGGGATAAATCCAACTTGGTCAGGGTGTATGATCTTCTTGATGACCCTCTGTATTCTGTTTGCCAGTATCTTGTTGAGGATTTTTGCCTCTATGTTCATTAGGGAGATTGGCCTGTAGTTCTCTTTTTGGGTTGGGTCTTTCGCTGGTTTTGGAATCAAAATAACACTTGCTCCTTGGAATGAATTTGGAAACCTTGTTTCCCTTTCAATTTCCTTGATGAGTATAAAGAGTAATGGTGATAGTTCTCTTTTAAATGTCTTATGGAATTCAGCAGTGAAGCCATCAGGACCTTGGCTTTTCTTTGTTGGTAAATTTTTTATTACATTTTCAATTTCACTCATTGTAATTGAGGTGTTTAGAATTTCTATATCTGCTTCATTTAACTTTGGCAATTCATATGTATCTAGGAATCTGTCGATTTCTTCTGTGTTTTCCATTTTATTAGAGTACAGGTTCTTGATGTAGGTATTGATGATCCTCTGGATTTCTGCTGGTTCTGTTGTGACTTCACCTTTTTCTTTCTTAATTGCATGGATTTGAGCCTTTTCTTTCCTTGTTTTTGATAAGGTTGGCTAAAGGTTTATAGATTTTATTTATTCTTTCAAAAAATAAAAAATTGATTCATTGATTTTTTATATCATTCTCTTAGTCTCCATTGCATCGATTTCTGCTCTGAATAAAATCTCTTCTTTTTCAAGGAAATGTCGGGTAATTGAAAAAAGCCACCAGAAGTAGACAACCGCCTCCAATCCTTGGGGAATTACTTAGAATGCCAGAGCCCTGCCTATTCAGAGCCACACCTCAGGTCATGATTGTGCCATCAACCCATCCTCAGTATATATGTTCCTGAGACTAAGGACCACAATAAATTCAGGGTATGTACTATCCCCTCCCCTTTCTTTAAAAGAAACTTCTGTAAGTTTCACATTTTCCAGGCATGGAGGCTCAGAACTAGTCAAATTATTCAGAACTAGTCAAAAATAATGACAAATAATAGAGCTCTAAAAGCCCTTCTTTTCCTCCCAAGAGAGCTCATAGAGGAAACATCTACAACAGTTTCCAGGACTGGGTCCTGTCCTAGTACACATGTCCTGAGTAATGGATTTTCTACCATTTCCCTCAGGACAGTACTTCAGAATCCAATTCTCGCTGTCAGAACACTTTTTGGTACTGGGGATCGAACTGGGGTCCTTGTGCTTGCGCAGCAGGTGGCGAAACCACTGGGCTAAATCCCCGGCCCCACACTTTTTTTTTTTAAACCCACATTCTATCAGGATCCTTTCTCTCACACACATTTTTAGCATTCTATCCCATCATTCCTGAGGCTGTCCTCTCTGCCAGGGTAAATAATCACAATCTCCTTCAGCTTCTCCCTCTGTCTCCCTGCCATGGAATCCCTTTGTTGTTCATTTCATCTTGTGTTTTCAAGGCTGGTGACTTTATTTCATTTTTGTAGTAATACAAGCCTACTGATCTCTTCATTTGAATATTTCCCAAAAATATAAAAGTTGTTTAAAACAAGAAGGGAGTGATTTGGATTTGTTTAGAGAGAAGCTTTAGAAATAAAGCACTGCATTATTTAAAATATGAAAAAAAGAAAGGAATTATGATTTTTTAAAAGGGATAAAATAGGCCCATCTTTACCACTTTCAAATGCAAAACTACGACAAGTGCAAGTATGTTTTTCCCATGAATGAGTATAGGGAAAAATGTATTCCCCTTGGAAAGACCTGGAAATGTTTTTCAAAGCTT